GTGTGTGTGTGTGTGTGTGTGTGTGTGTGTGTGTGTGTGCTTTTGTGTGTGACATTTTCCCCCCAGGAGGCAAAGTCACCAAGCTCAATATACTTATATTCTGGATTCTACCACTAACTAACAGCTCAGGCAGTTTGATAGCTCTGGAACAGCTGTATGAGCTACAACATTTTTAATAGGAAAAGAAAACTTGTTACGGTTGTCGAAAGCCACCTTGCCTGGATTGTGGTGAAACAGAAGTATGCTGAAAGGGGCAGGTAAAAGGAAGAAGCATTTATTCCTCTGAAGAAACATTTTTCTCATTACTCTTACTTTTCTCCTCCACAAATATGCGTCTTTCCACATGCAGAGACACATTCAAGGTACAATCAAGTAGTTAAACTTTATTTCTATAGTAAGTAATATTCTATAGCCTAGATTCTCATCAACTGAAGAGAACCATAGCTCTCCCTTAGGAGACATTATGCTCAGCTTTCAGAATAAACACCAATAAAGTCTGGGTAACCTGACATCTTTATTAAAATGAACAATAGAGTGCCAATTAATTAAATTCAAAAACAGAGATTAAACCATCAGACAAATTTAGCCGTTCAATAGAAAGGAACAGGAACCAAGCACCCACAACCAACCTGCATTTTGGAATATTCCTTATGAGATGGCCAAGGCAGAAGAGCTTTCATTTCAAAGATGTATCTCTCCAGCAAGGCAGAATTTACAAGACTAACAAAAACAAAGACATATACATTAAAAGAAATAAATATGAACTCCAGCACAGATCATAAAAAATGGTCTTGGTTACTCACACCGTGGCTTGCATTAATAAGAGGCAAGTTGTTGTTTAGTATGAACATGAGGGCACCTTTTCCACTATAAAGGGGAAATCACCAGCATACATTTATTTAGAAACCAACAGGATTTCGCCCCAGTCAATAAAAGGGTACATATAACAAGGGCATTAAAATATAGAAGCGACAAAAAAGAGGAAATAATAATAAACCCAGAAAGCAGCATAAGCAATTAAAATTATATGGAAAGAAAGATGGTGTTTTCTTTAGCTGCCTAAAAAAACAAATAACAATAACAATACTCTTATTTTGTTATGGAAGAAGTTCCACGTCCTGGTTGCTGCTATACACAGATGAGCTATGAACTCATCACGTTTCCCTTTGCTAGAATGTGGGACACATAACTTGCAGTTGGATCAGATTCAGAGGAAAGCGGGCATCATCACAGATGCACTGCCTTAGACGTTGGGGATCTGCAGGTAAGAACCAGCAGCAGATATGAGCTGGATTTGCATATAAACTGAGTGTGGGAGCCCTGAGATTCACAGTTTATTGCCTATAAAATGCATACCATAAAAGCAACCTGAATGCTGCAATTGCATATTCCGAATTTTCTAAAGATGTGGCCATTTCATATAGTTAGCTAGATACAGAAGGACAGAGATATGGAATTCTGTGACCAGATTAATTTCTCCATTGGAGGACATTTAAGTGATGCCTTAGTCAAAACTTGGGAGGGGCGGGGCACATTTTAATTCCCATTTTAGGAGTACCGCACTACTGATTTGTCTAGCTGAAGTCAGTGTCTGTTTGCACACAACCAATCCAGTCACATCCAGTAGTTTCTATGCCTTCTTAGAAAGCATAGGTGTACCATCAACAATGGTGGCACAGTGGATAGAAGGCAATACTGCAGGGCTAACTCACTGTTCATTGCAGGAGTTCAATTCTGAAGGTCCCAAAGTTGACTCAGCCTTCCATCTTTCCGATATGGGTAAAATGAGGACCCAGATTGTTGAGGGCAATATGCTGACTCTGCAAACCGCTTACAGAGGGCTGTAAAAGCACTATGAAGCAGTATATAAGTCTAAGTGCTATTGCTATTATGAGGTTCTCCCTGTCCCAGCAAAATAACCAGGTATTCCTTTTGTCTAGGGACATGATAGTACTAAAGCATTACTTTCAGGGAATGTTAAAGATAAAATTAATAGAGGGCGGATACTGTAGGAAACATGCAGGGAAAAGAATGGGGAAAAAAAAACCTTCCTCCCATCCCCACCCAACAATTGGGCTCTACTTAACGTTTGGGAGCCCAGCTAAATATTCTACTACATTTGACATTGGATCATCTGTAAGGTTAGGATTAGGGTAGTTAAAAAAGGTTTTTATTTAAGTTAGGACAGAATTTCTTAGTCTTTAGTCCTCATTAGAGGATTCGGATTCTAGAAATGATTCTTGAATGTCAAACCAAGACTATTGACAATTAATGAAAAAGTAAGGAATTAATTTTTAAAGGAATAAGTAAGTAGTTCATTTTTAGTTTCATGTTATGTGGGTTAGGCTACTGAAATTAACAGTGGGAAGTAGCCTCATTGGAAACAAACTGCAAACGATTATATACAAAGTCTGGTTAACAAAAATAGCAAAACTATTTGCATCAAGATACCTAGTCATCTTAGGACTCTGTGGTTGACAGAGATAAGTTTAGAACTTCCAAACTCATACTTTTAACAAAACTAATTTTAACATCAACAGCTATTTTATTTATGTTGACGCATTATTGATGTTGATTTGATACATGTATAATAACTCTTTTATTAATATTAATATATTTTATTTTATTTTACTTTTGTAGTCATTGGCTAATAAGAGTAAAAGCATGTCACAAGTAGATTTAATATAGAAATGTATTTCACTGTGCATTTTAAACATTTCCTCGGTGTGGAAGTTTAGAAAATATAGTACACTATTTAAGGATGATGCAAATTTAGTGTATATGACTGAGTTAGAAGACTATGTTTTACTTTTTGTATACAGGTCTTAAGAAGTCATAAATAAGGTGAAAATGGTGTGCTTTTAGTTAGCTTCAACTAAAACAACAGTTACTTTTTATTTTGACCAACTCCTAATTCAATAGATATGGAATTGTTAAAAACTGTCAAATGTCATACCATATAGACAATAAATCTCAAACCCAGCCACCCACCCCCAAAGTATCAGTTTCACTCAATTTATCATGGCTTAGAGGAGTTTCATTACTGCAAGCAAGCAAGAGGTCATATAGAGAAAGCTGTTCAGGCAGCATGTAAGTTTAATAAATAATATTTATTTATTTAATACAAAATATACCTATCCCCAGAAATAGCTCTCTCTTTCTTTTAAATCCTTAACTTTTTTTCCTCCTTTTTTTTTCTTTTCACTTTCAACTCAATGGATTTTGTTTTTTTCTCCAGACCAGATTAAGAGGCTTCCAATGTGTACACAACATTTCTTTCTGTCCTGAACACACACTGGCCCTAAACCCATCAATTTCAGCCCTTTGAGATGTTCTAGATTTGCTCCATTTTCAGGAAGGGAGGGATTCTTCCAGTTTGTTACTTTTGAATTCTTAGAACACTCAACAGTTTATCAATATATGTAACAAAGCTTGGGATATCATTTGTCACAGTCTATTTGCAAGCTCTCTCATTATTGATCTCTTACCTACTGAGAGCAGTTAGTGTCTGTGCTCTCCGAAGAGCAATTGTCGTCTCTACTGGAGTAACAACAAGCAGGTTGTCCAACACGCCACACACAGCTGAAAGGAGAGGAGGCGTGACTGCCATACACTGATTAGGTCTAATGTCAGACTCTGGGAAAACATGTGGACTTGAAGATGCTGTTGTGGTTCTGTCACTCTGACCTAGAACATAACATTCAAAAGAAATAAGCTCCATGAAATGTAAGACATATTCCTCACTCTGACATGAATCATAGAGAATCAATCAATTCTATTAGCTACATGAAGCTTCAAAACTACTCTTGTGCTGATTGTTTCCATAAAAAACCAACCTGTCGCTTGCTGTTTCTTAAACTGAACATTCTCTGTTTGGATAAATAGAACAATATGCAACAGTCCAATAAGAATCATCAGACTAGGGCAATACAGGCCCAAAGAGAGTTTTGTCAATTCGGAATATTTAAAATGGTAAAACATATGTATTTCAAAACAGAGCTGCTGATATCTGAAAGGTGTGCAGAGCTAATCTTTCTGCTTTTCCGCCCTATACCTTGATCACCTGAGAGTTTCAGAAATAAGCTAGCAGGTGATGGCTGCTGTTTGGACAATCCTATTGTGGCCCACCAGCGACCAGCAGAGCTGGCAGCAGATTCAGACAGTGAGGAGATTGGGAAGGAACATGGGCCAGTCCTCGGAATCAAGAGATGGTGCCAGTTATCAGCTGCTTTCAGAGTCAGAGATAAGTAAGGCAGAGGAACAGCTGGACCCTGTTCCCAGTGTGTGCATCCATAGAGTTGCCAGATGAAAGGAACAGTTAAAGAACAGGAGTCGACTTGGGAGTAAAGCCACAGGGGGATGATGATTGGCCCCTCCCAGAGGAAATAAAAGAGGAGCGAAAGGGGAGTGGAGTTTGCAGGAGACATTTAGTTCACTTCATTGGTTTGTGACTCTCCAAGACTCCTTGCCAAGTTTTGCAGATATCGGCCTGGCAACTCTCCAAGTCAAATAAGGTCTGTGACTGTAAATCCTCTCTTGAAAGATTTTGCTGGATATGAACGGGAAAAATTCACAGTAAATTAATAAAAGGGGTTTTTGTCCGGTCAAGGAGTTTGCTTCATGCTCTTGGGAAGCTTGGTCAGAACAAATCAATTCCAAAATTTCTAGCATGCACTGTGTCGCAAGAGTATCCAACCTTGAGTTACAAGTCGGTTCAATGATGCATCATGAATAAGACTAGCTGGCAAAGAGGGTGCTTCTATGTCCATAGCACATCCTGGTGACGATGGTGCTGAAATTATCTAAAAAGAACCAACATGATCACTTTATTTAATATGCATTTTTGTTTGCTTTTTAACTGAGGTACCCCATCTTTTCGCCCAAATGGTGCTCATAGTGCCTAGCAGCAATACAAAATGCTAAAATTGGGACTATTGTCAAATAAATTCAGACTACTGTAAAGGAATTCAAACCATGGAGTAAACAAAGAAAGAAAATTGCATGGGATTCAGTCAAGTAAATCATCTCAACAAAATTTCTGTAGCCAAATATTGTTTTTACTGGTAGGGAAAAAAGTAAGGCAGGTAAGAGTCTTGCCTCTCGTAGCAATGTGTTTGAAAGTCTGAGAATAGACATGAGGGCGGGGGAGAATCCTGCCATCCCCTTCTCCACTGCCACTTTCCTGTTCCCACCAAATACATTTGATACATTTGGCATGCTAAGGAGGCAAAGGGGAAGGTATTTTCTGAAGACCATTCCAGGAAATACGATGCTTCAAATATTGTATGTGATGTGCGTGTGCAGTGTGTCATGTGAATCACACATGCCTTTGGGCCAGGTTGATTCCTGGTGAATGCCCTGCAGTTTTCTTGGCAAGATTTTTTTAGAAGTGATTTGCTACTATGTTCTTCTTCCTGGGACTAAAAAAGACATACTCACTTCAATTCACCTTGTTGACTTCATGCCTAAGGCAGGACTAGAATTAATGGTCTCCAGTACTTTAAACGCTATACCAAACTGACTCTTTCAAATAGTCTACAAGCCTCTATATGTCATAATCATCATATTGAACTGTATTTAGAAACAGATGGCGAGTATACATGAAACATGATGTTGGGTTATGTAATCTTAATAGAATTGACCTATAAAAACTTCATCTTACACATGGGACATTGAGACTCATTTCTAGGGTCATCATGGAGGCCAAACTCAACCAGTTCTATTGACATTTAAACTGAGTCTCCTTCATAGAACAAGGGATAAGGATTTGTAATAAAACCTTTAACTTAAGCATGACTGTATTTCTACAGCCTTACAGAGTGGATGGGAATTCCTTTATAACACAATGCAATCCAAATGCCTCCTCCTCTTTGCTAAGTGTGCAACAAAGGAGAGTCATTTAAGGCACTTTCAATTTAATTAATAACTTGTGCCCATTAAGCACTATGCCATTTAAAGCACTTCCTTTTTCCTTTCCCATTTTGTTACACATGGGAAATAAGAGGTTTTCATTTCTACTATCTGAGCAGCCTATGGAGGGCCCAGAAGCATACTATAAATAACAAAAGATGCTAAAGCTTTTTGCTTTGCTTTTCAACACACGAACTTCTCAGCGATGATGACAATGATGAAATTAATGAATCTAGCACAGAGCTAGTCAAACACAAAGATTTGTGTGCACCCTGGTGGTCATAGGCACATTATTGTTCCAGAGAACATGGCAAGGTTACTACAGAGAACCTACCTGTCAGGTAGGTTCGTCCTACCACTTAGGAGAGCTCACAAGAATACCAAATAATTAAAATGTATTGAAAAAGGTTAAAAGCCACAGGGAAGGAATTTTCATTAACCTCTCTGATTCAAGAACACTCACTAGCTAGTGTGGGAGTTAGTTCTCATATAGTTGGTGAAAAACAGTATGATAGCAATGATCTAGTCATTGCAAAATGGAAACCAGTCCATTCAGGAGAGTGGCCATGTTTTTTTTCAATTCCAAGGTACAGGAGCAAAGTAAAGCTCAAGACAGTTTGAATATTGTTTCTGTATTAATGGCTTGTTCTTGAAAAAAATGAAATGGGAATAAATTAATTGTCACTGGTCACCATAAGACTACAGACTTTCTTAATATAAAATAATTACTTACATGAGTCAATTTTCTTGGGAGAAGAAAAAATTTGGTTTTCCCTACCATCAATAGCTAATGCTAATTTGTCTAATGTAAGATATAGAAACAGTCCTAGAATATTATTAGTAGAAACAGTTCTCATAACAGAAAATATTGTGGTGTGCAGTAACATTGTTTTAGACAGAGTTCCATTTTTGGAAACAAAAGTATTTTTTACTTTTCCTAACAAAACTGACCAGATGCCTTCTACACTGAAAACATCCACAGGTATTTGTAACATTGGTTGTGGAAGGTGAAAGGTTCTGAATGTGAGTAAAAGAGGACTAAAAAGCAGAAGAAATACTAAACTGTATTAAGTAACTCAAGAAGAAACACAGCTAGTATAATGGAATCCTAGTTCTCCAGACAATTCCATTTCACAGTATGTTCAACTTACCCAAGTATCAGTAGTTGACTGAGTACTTGGAGATCGGCTCCCACCATTCTGGACTCCCCAAGCAGAAAGAGAATCTTCAAAGTCTGGAAAAGGGAGACAGAGAAATTCCATGCTTATAAAAGTTCACCACCCTCCAGACCTTCCGCACAGCCCTTAAAAACTGGCTTTCCTGTCAGGCCTGGGGCTAAAGATTGCAACCCGCC